AGGGGCCTATCCAGAGGACAGTGGGACTGCCCAGTCTTGGACCCTCAGCTTTGAACAGTGTCAGTTAAACCAACCTCTTTACACAGTACTTGCTAACTCAGATGTTTTGCTAAAGCAACATATAAAAGATCAATATATGTTTCTTTTTATTATGGTTTTAGGTGGGAATTTCCACAAAGAGCTTCATTGGAAATTAAGAAAATCTATCTGAAATAACTATGTCCCTGAGTTAGACTCTCAGATCTCCTGGATATGAACTAATCAGCAGTGTAAGATACTGATTCTCATGCAGCAGGTGCTTCTGAGATTCTGCACTGGAACAGCTCTTAATGAGCTAATGATGCTATTCAGCCTGAATATTTTGAATAGGATGTGAGTGAGTCTCACTGAGTTGTGTATTGCCTCACACTTTTGCTGAGGGTGGCTTTGAACTTGGGATCCTCCTGTCTCAGCCTCACAAGCTGTTGGGATTACAGGTCTGCACCTCTGTGCCAGACCAGGGAGCCTCATTTTATGAAGTTGAGTTGGGGATTCCTGGTCAGTCAAGGCCAGGTTTAGGTGAGCTTTTATCTCAGGTGCCACTGTCAGCAGGGCACCAAGAGGACATGGGTTCTGTCCTTTGAACAAAGTCACTTAAAATATTTTGTATGTTTGGAGGAAAACCAGTGAGAAACTGTCCATGCTGCTGCCTGCAGTAGAGGATGAGATCTGACTGTGGATGTTTAAATCTATGTGGAAGACATGTTGAGATGAGGGGAACCCCTAAAAAGATTCAGGAAACTGACACTCTGTTGCAGGAACTCTCTGCTTTTCCATGTCTCTTACCTGACATGTGGGGACCAGAAGAGTTTCATATTTCAGCGGTTTTCATATTTTAGAAACTTTGAGTCAACTTTCCCAGCTGAGCATCCCCATTGAGAATTCAAAACTCCCTGAAATGATACAAAATTTTCAGACTTTGGAGCAATTTGGATGGCTGTTTGGAGAAGGGGTCTCACCTTGCCCTAGAGTAGAGTGACACAGACCGAAAAGCACAGGGAAAGCCCTGTAGAGGAAGGTGGCACTAATTGTGTGTGTGTGAGTGGGTGTGTGTGTATGTGTGTCTGTTTGTGTGAGTTTGTGTATGTGGGGGTGTGTGAGTGTGTTTGTATGTGTTCCTCTGTGTGTGCATATGTGTATGTGTGTGTCTCT